TATAGCCCTTATATTTTTCTCATCTGGTTTGTCTCTAAGCACAATTTCGGTAACTTGAATTCTAAGTAGGTTTCTACCCTAAACAAGGATATTACAGCATAATATTACTCCCATGAGAGAGCTTTCTAATAAGGTTCTCATTGACAGAGATTTCGGGCTACATTCTCATCTGGTACAAATCTGTGTACCACTGAAGTCAATGGGGCTGCACTGGTTGACACCCAGTCTGCCTGTATGACTCTTCAATGGTTAGTGCTTCCTCCCATAACTCTAGATGTTGGCCTTAGTGAAGCAGTGTGCAGGGCTCAACCAAGTCTGGTCCTCGAGTCAGCTGGAGTGTTGCCATTGACTTCAATGGAAGCAGTGAGAATGGTATGATTTGTTCAGCCAGTGGCCCCAAGCCATCTTTTCCTCTGAAACAACAAAAAAACTTTGTTCAGAGAAACAATAAGGACTATGGGGGTTGGACCAGGTGATGCTTCAGGCCCTTTCCATTAATCCTTCCGGCCACTGTGGATTCTAGGAGACAATATGTCTACACATGGGAAACTGGAGGATAGGGTTATTGGTCCTATCCTATCTCATATTTAGAAGAAAATATATCATTAAAGATCAAAGATCATAGGATCATAGAAAATCAGGGCTGGAAGGGACCTCACAAGGGCATTTGGTCCAGCCTCCTGCTCAAGGCAGGGTCATCCCTGATTTAACATCCCAGCCAGACTGAGATGGGACAATCTAGATCTGAGGGATGCTCAGATGAACTCAAGCTCCTGGTGTGACACAGTGGCCAGAAGGATTAACGGCATCCTTGAACATGCAAGGCAATATTGAGTGGGAGTACAAAGGCTATGGTGGTCGTGGATGAGCTTGCTCTTGGAAAACCATATTTGGTTATGATGTCCATATTCAAGAAGAATGTTGATGCATTGGAGAGCATTCCTAGAAGAGTCAAGAGAATAATTAAAAGATTGAAAATCAGGACTTATGGTGGAAGCCTCCATGGGCAAAATACAGCTGGCTGTCAAAGACAAGGTCAGGGGTGATTCAATCATGCTCTATAAGCACCTGCATGGTGAACAGAAATTGGATAAGAGAGGGCTCTTCTGTCTAGCAGGAAAAGGTATAACAAGATCCAGGGGCCAGAAGATGATGCTGGATAAAATTGAGCCCAGAAATAAGATAAACATTTTTAATAAAGAGGGAATTTAAGTCAACTTGTCTAAGACAGTGTCAAGTTCTCCATTGCTGAAAATCTTTAAATCAAGACAGGATGCTTTTCTAAAAGATGCTCTGAAGTTCACACAGGAATTAATTCAGGAAGACATAAGAGCTTTAATAGACACAGAAGAGACAGGGTGATCAGAATGGTCTCTTCCGGCTTTATGATTTAGGAATTTATGGAAATATCTTAGGCCGCATCTTCTACGCCACATTCATCTGCTATAGATAATTTTTTCTCAGTCTGAGTAAATCCAGATGAGTTTGCCAGATCAGTAGCTCCTGGATTAACTGCAGGCAGGAAAAACAGCCCTTTGAAGAACCGCAGGTTGAAGGACGATGATGTATCCCTGAGCGAACAGGCTTTGTGCCATTACAGAACAAGAGAGCTGAACAGCAAGTTCTAATTCCCCGTTTTACTGCTTTTCGATCTCTGGTACCAACTGCTTTATAGTTTAAGTTGAGCCGCTATTTTGAGAGAGGGGAAGGAACAGCTAATGGGAATTAAAGCTCTGAAACATCTTAGACATAATAGTAATCATTAATTTTTCCAGGAGTGCAATGAGACATTTGGTAAGCCAAACACTTTTCTTGGTCCATATTGCAAAATGTTGACAAAAGGACACTGGAATCCATGGAGGGATTGTGAGACAGCTAAGAGGAGGCTAATGTCACACTGACAAATAACTAGGCATCTTTGAGACGTCAGGGTGCTTTTGCTCCAAACTGTTCATGAAATGAAAGCCGGGAATTTTGCAGGCTTCTCGGCTAGGGACAGACATTCAAAAACCTGAGCCTGAATTGATTCAATCTTTGCAGGTTAGTCTAACCTGGCTAGGCTGAACCTGTTTGTAACTGTAAAGACATTCTCTCTGGACGGAGGAAATGCAGGCACATGCCTGCAGTGGCTCAGGCTAGAAACCAGGGCTGCTAGAGCAGCCCTCCCATCCCTTTCACAGGGCTGAGCAGGGGGTGACCAGGCCCTGGCAGGATGCTTTAATTAGGGAGGGGTTCCCTACCCCTTCTTGATAACAGAGCATTTATCAGCTCTGTTATCACCATTTCACACCCCATCAGAAAACAAAGCCTCTCTCATTAGTTCAAGCTCTTCTTAAACAACTTTTTCCAAGGAAGGGAACATTCCAAGGAGGGACATTACCACCTACCTGTTGATTAGCTCCAAAAAGCCCTAAGTGGAAACTGTCCTGTCTGCCTTTGTCCTGTTTGCCTTACACAGACATCTCAGCATTAGCTAGCACACCACATGCTGGCTACAGTCCATGCTGTAGGAGGGTGGGAGCCATCCCTGCTTGAGCAGCGAGTGGTGAGGGGAGGTAGGGGGAAGGCAGACAGACCCCACTGTACCTGCAAGTCTCTGCTGGAGCTGCATCCATGGAGCAGAGGGGAGGAGCCAGCACAGCTCTCTGCCCAGCCCAGAGAGCATGCTGGGAACTCTGATTTAACTTCAACCAGGAAGGGGTCTGGGACAGACATTGCATAAACTGGTTTGACCCAAATCAGCTAAGTCTGATACTACATTCAGCCAGGTTTATCTCAAACCGGTTTCAGCCATTTTCAAACTGGTTTATGTGCACTGAATGTCTGTTCTGTTACAGGTTTTAACCAGTTTCTGATCACTTGAACCAGTTTACATGTAATGTCTGTCCCTAGCCCTCCTGTTACCCTCTCCTGTCTCTGACTGTCAGGTGGGTGCACCACACTGCACAAATCACCCGGCACTGGGAGAAAGTCAGTCTACTCCTGAGCATGTCAGAGTTGCTTCCCCAGGTCTAATATCCTGCCTGATGTTTTCGTGGCCCTGGTTCTGACTGCAGCAAGGAATCTGAAACCGGCCTCTGGGCTCAAACACCTCCTTGTATGTTTAGAGGCAAGGGCTGGGTGCACAGGTAAAAGGAGTCTTATGCTCATGGGCACAGGCAGACTTCTGCATAAAAAAGTGGATGCCACGTGAGTTTGGCAGGAAACTATTTGAGAGGCAAGAGCAAGTGGCAATTACAAGCTATTAAAGAGACAAGGCTGAGCTGAACTTTTTAAAGGGGCTATTTTATTGTCTCCCCCACCCCAAAGCCACATCACAGCTTTTTTATCCTGTAAATTCTTTTGCATAAAAATGTTATCGATTTTTTTTTTTTTTGCTTCCACAGACGTGCTTAGAAGAGTCTTTTGGCCCGAGAACAAGAACACCTGAAACATCACACATATTCTTAGTCCCACCCTTCCCCACCTCTTCTGTGCAAACATCAGCTCTCTGCCTCTTCAGTTCCCATTTCTGCTTTCCTGCTAACCAGATCTACAAGATTCCGGTCTGGGGGGTGGATACCACCGTGCAACCCACTCGTTAAGCACAGAATCATCTTTCACCTCCACTGCAACTCCATTGCTGGGCAAGAGAAATTTGAGCTCAACTTAGCAGGGTGTTGCAGGAAGTCTCCTGCACTTTTCTGGTTAGTGCTCAGCTCTGATGGCTTGATGAGAACAGTGGGGCTGGTGCCAGCTGCCGGCCTGTGGGCCAGGAGCAGGCGCCAGCAAGCAGCATTAATGAACGCCTGCCAGGAGCCTGGGATGGCTGCCTGGCATGGCTACTGCCAAGGAACAGGAAAGAGAAGACAGAGCGGAGGACGGTTTCTTTTGTGAGCCACTTAAGGCATAGCAGCCGCTTTCTCACCCTCTAGTTCCTGTTACGTGTGGAGCCCAGCACTCCACTTTGAAATACCTGTTGTGAATTTAGTGAAATGCGGTATAGATGATCCCCATTTTGCATCTTGGGTAAAGTGAGTCACCAGGAGATGAAACAGCTTAACCAAGGTCACAGCATGTCAGCCCCCCTGCTCTGAGCACTGAACTGCATCCCTTGACTTTTGAGAGCATATGCTGGCACTTCTCATCTCATTGCATGAGTATTGCCACCTGCAATCGCTTTCCTATTCTGTCCGTTTGGGTTTCCCTTCTCCCCCGTCCGCAGCCTCTGGACATGCAGGGGGGCTGCTTAGGTTGCTGCTATTGTAACACCAAGTTGTAGGGGGAAAACAATCCTAGTTATGTGAAGTTGAATTTATTCCTTATCAACAGATAAAAATGGAGTTCAACGTGATTTATCACCATTTCCTTTAAATAACCAGCCAGATAGACTATAATTTACAGACAGTGTAACCACTAAAAATAAGTTTTTCTGCAAGCATGGGACTCCTAGGATGGTTAATACTACAGGTACTGTTTGGAGTTAAATTATTAACACGTATAATTAAATATACATTTTAACCTATACATAAATATACTTTTCATATATAATTAAACGGTAGATGTCTGCAGAACCGGCTGCCTGCAGGAATACTGTGAATAAGTTTACAGTACCTTCAGACCCTGTTTCTGAAAAGTTTTTCTAAAGCACAAACGGAGCCGTTTGAAGCGTTCCAATTCTGCTCATTATATAACAACAATAACCAAGCCCCCGAGCTGTGGGAGCTCGTTGGGTAGGTCCATAACAGTAGTTCTTCTATATCCCTAATGGCAAGTGATATTTTTACAAATCTTTCAGCGGAAACAAGTTTATTCAGCTTCTTTTCCTTTCCAAAAGGAGTTTCGCGACGTCCCCCAAGACCCTGACCCTGCGACCAGGAGGGGGTAAGAAGCTGGAGGAAGCCCGCCCAAGAGAGAAAGGCCGAGGTTTTACACACTGGGCACACGAAAATGTGCTATTCCCAGTGCCTCCCATGAGTTCACATGCAGCGCTCCCCTCCCCACCGCAGCCGGGTACTCACATCATACTTCTCTGTCAGTTTGAGATGGAGAGCGCGTTTCCAGAGATTCTTTGTAAAGCCTGAATCTGGGAGCAAGATTACGATGCACAAGGCTGTGGCAAAGATCTTGCTACAGACGTGCGGCTCAGGCACCAGCTTCTGGCTGCTGGCATCCATCTTCCTAAGGAGAGATAAAACAGGGAGCTGAGCTTTCAAGGATCCAGGCGAGTCCGAGTCCTGGGAGGGAGGGAGAGGGCAGATGGCTGGAGTGAGCTGCTCTTTGCTGCGAGGCTTCTGGGCGGGGAGGGAAATATCGAAAGGGTTTGGAGCTCCCAAGCCAGAGCCAGGAGCGGTGGTTGAACTTAATCGCTCCAAGTTAGACGCAGCTCTCCAATCTCGTGTTCACACAGAGCACATGTGCTGCTGGGCTGAGAGATGGGAAGATTATTTTTAGACTTTTGTTGGCAACATCTGGCTTCCTCAGAGAGCTCCTTTCAAAGCCGAGGCAGGGGATCAAATGACAGCTGCGGGAGGAGGGTGGCGGGGGGGATAAGGTCTTGGAAGAGCAGGCTGGACAGCTTGCAGCCACCAGCTCCCCCAAACTTCCCAAGGTAATAAGCACTCCCGCGGTGTGCTTCCCCTACACAGGTAGATGCACCGCTCTCCAATTTGGGCTCTCTAGGCTGGTAACTCTGAACATAGAGCTGTTTCCACCCGGGAATTATTGTTCAAAACCTGACAAACCAATGGGTGCTTCAATTGAAACAGTTAAAACTTTAGCTTTCCCAGGCTCCTTTACAATAGGGGAAGACATGGCCTCTAGGGAAGCATGAGCCCAGTAAGTACTGGGGTTGATTTGGAAATGACATGCTCCGATAGACACGACGTGCATTTATAGACCATGGGATGCATGAGTCCGTGTGCCTGACAAGGGGCGACACTGAGCAACTGGACTTGGGACCGTTACCCTGGGTGATCCTACACCGTCCTGTTTGCAAACTCGATTGCTTAGGATTAGGCATCTAATTAAATATTTAGGCAGATAAATACTGGCTTTATGCCCATCAAACTGCACCTAAGAACTTACAGCAACAAATCACTGGCACCAATCTTGAAGCACCAGAGTTTGAAGATGAGGCTTGTAGCTTAGGTAAAACACAACGATTCTGGATGTGCAGTGATGACGGGTGTCTGTAACAAGAAAAGCATATAGAAGCCAACCCTATTCCCACTCCCCTCAGTGAAGGGGCCCCTTACCAACCATGCAAGTGCAACTCCAGCCTTGCCAGAGGCTCCTGCTGGTCAGAGCAGCTGCAGAAGCAGCCAAGGAAGGGGAGAAATTGAGGCCCAGTTGGAGCCATCCCACCCCACCACCCTAGGCACCCCCCAAATTTAGTGTAGACCAAGGGAGGGGCCAGCCAACCACTACAGCTGCAGAAATAGCCACGGCTGTGACCTTAGGGATTTTAGCTTGGTATTCTCATTCCACGCATTTAATTCAGCTGCCATTTCAAGTTGCTCATACCAGTCACCCTAGTCTTGTTGCTCCCCTCTTTAGGATGCTGGATTGAATATAGGCTTTGAGACACTAGATGGGGTGCATTTGTTTTTCCCTCCCACTGAGGCTACCCTTCCTCAAATGCTCACACAAACAAAAACCTATATGCTGTAGCAGTTTGCCTTGTTCCTTATAGCCTGTGACCACCAATCCCCATTTGCCGCACTTGTGGGAGAGCCTTCCGAATCCCACTTCTGGCACCAATTTGTGCAAACCCTGCAGCCACAGAAAGTGGCACAAGAAGCAAGGGGGAGTTCCCATGTTTATGTAGAAAATCATAGGAGTTAGCGTCACAAGCCAACAGGGAGGGGCCAGATAAAAACGTTTAAGCAACATCAACAGTGTGGTAACGTTCACTAAACGTAATTCCACCCCACACCTCTGGAGGTGTCCCCAAACAAGCCTTTAGTCCCTAGAGCACTAAAACATCAGGCTGCCACTGTCCCCAAGTCTGAGTTCAGCTCCTTCAGTCCACAGTCCTGGCTGACCAAGCCAGTGAGATCTCCAGCTCCACTTTGCACTCCTCTGTGTAGGCCTGACCAGATTCCACCTGCACGCTGCTCTCTGCCCCTTACTCCAGCCTCAAGCTTTGTCTCCTTTTTTTCCCTTGGCCCCCAGGCCCTGGGGGTTTCTGGGAGTTGCAGTCCAAATTAACATTCAGCACAGCTCTGCAGACTGCCCCTGGTTCCTCCTGCTGTTACACATATTGCATTCATGTTACGCCAAAACTTTCATCCTCATCCATAAGACTCCGTGCCAACAAAATGTGTGTTTTCAGTTCCACTTTGCCCTTATTGTTCCTTTTGCATCTCTTTTTGGAAATTATGGCT